ATAGCTAAAATCTTGCCTCTCCATACCTACCCCCCTTTCTACTGTCAGACTTAGAACCACGACACCCCCTCCTCCCCTTTCAACCTAAATAGACTAGAGGCTTTTGCACTATTTGGACATACAAGTTTTGGAGCCTCCTCTAGTTCTCTAGTTCTATTTCTAGTTGGTCCTAGTTTCCCAAATAGAGCACTTAGATCCTCTAATCGTCATAATTAGAAGCACTGTGTGGTTCTAATCTCCTCCCTCTAATTCTCCGGTGACGATTAGCTCTGGATGGCGAAGCGCTGCCGATTCCTGAAGATCGTACGCTTGCAATCAAGTAGAGAGGCCATACTTTTGGTCTTCCATTCGAGGGATTGTTTGTGGACGGTTCGCGGGATCGTTCATCTAGGGTTTGAGGGACTCCAAGTACAATGTACGTCGACTCATCTACTTCCCCTGCTACTGTAGTCGGTAACGATCGTGATCCAATCCATTTATGCATCTTCATATTGTTCCTGGGTGATCGTAGGATGAGTTTTTTTTTCTTTTCTACTATGTTTCCCTACAGTACCATGATTGAGAAAATGCTCTTGAGTCCATGTGATGAAATTGGTTTGGTTCGACCGTTCAATATGTATGTTTTCCTAACTTTGTGTTGAATTTTTTATGCATATTCAATGATTTGCTTCATCGGGGTGGGATCTGATTGAATTTTAGCCATATTAAACTCTCCATTATTGGCAACATGAATAGGGGTGTCTTAATCTGGTTCCGGATGCACACCACTTACATTCTAAATATTTGCTCTAGGAACCAAAAACCTCCTCATATTTCAAATTTAGTAAGTTAAGACTAAAATTGGATGGTTTGGAATGATTGAACTAAATAACAATGGTGAGGTTAGATCGGTCGAAAAGAAAAACTAACAATACATCTGTGAAGTGGAGATCGATTTTACATCAATCAACCTGTACGGGATGATTGAACTTAACTGCATATGTTGTCAACGGGTGATTGTCGAGATCAAGGATTGTAGGGATCCCCTAATAGAGATCCAGATAGGGGTCAAACACTTCAGATCATTTCAGAGATGAGGCTTTGTTTATCCAGGTTCATGACACCGAGGGGGTGTAATACCCTACACTCTACATGCTAGTTCTTGCTCTGGAGACAAGTGTGTATTGTTATAAGATTGCTTTCCTCCTTT